GCGCAGTAGGTAAAAGAAGTGCGTGTTCCTTTGAGAACTGACCACTCCTTAACCACTCCCTAATTCCACCCTGAATCACCTAGCTAGCATATTTGACACATGTTTTATTACATTTTATCCTATATAAACTTTAATTGTACCCCTCTAAGGTCTCAGGTTCCTTAAGAATCCTTGCCCACTGAAATAAATTTACAATAAATCTTTGCCACCTTAACTTAAAGAAAGCTTGAGTCTGTGAATTCATTCCAGACAACCCCATCTTGTACTCCAGTCTTTGAGAGGTCTCAACCTCTCAGACCACAACAGGAGCACCTCCCTCAGAATATTGTTTTGAGGTCAAACAAGACAATACTGAAGAGGGCTTGGCCAGGCACTGGCATCTATCAAGTAGGTGCTTAGTAATTCCTACCTCACTTTCCTCCTTCCTTCCTTTTCTTCCTTTCTTCCTTTCTCTCTTCTCTTCCCTCCATACTTTCCTTCCTTTCTTCTCTCTGCTCTAGAGATGCCAGTTGATAAGAATGCAGCTTAGTTTCATTATCAAACTGTTGGCAGTAGCCATTTAGGGAGAAGAATGTTTAAAAAGAAGTCTATCCCTTGAGTATTGAATGACTTTAAGGAAAGCCAAACCTCCACTAAGGGAGAGGAGAAGGATTTCTGTCCCCAATACACTGACACACTTTATCATCAGCCCCATTTGCTCCTTATGTATCATTGTTTTTTCTTCTTCCACTCAGACTTTCCATACATTATTCATGATGTTAATCCAAGTAGCAAACAGAAATTCCTGGGGCACTCCACTAAAGACTGTCTTGCAAGCTGACATCAATCCTCCTGGGTTTTGATCATTGAACCCAACTGCCAATATTTAGATGTTGTCTTAGCCTCTTCTCTTTGACTTGTCCAGAAAAAAAAAAAAAGCAAAAGCAGGTGAAACTTTGTCAATTGCTTTATAAAAAATCTAGGCAAACAATTTTTACTGGATTCCCTTTATCTCACACTCTAGTGACCCTCTCAAGACAGAATATGAAATCACCAGTGGTGTTTGTGAGGTTTTTTTGTTTTGTTTTTTTGCTAGACAATACAGTTAAGTGACTGACTTGCCCAGGTTCATAAAGCTTGTAAGATTCAAGTGTCTGAGGATGGATTTGAACCCAAGTGCTCCTGACTCCAGACCCGGTGCTCTATCCACTTGTACAACCTAGCTGCCCCACAGTGGTATTTGTTCTTGAGGAAGACATGCTGCCTTATTGCAGGATTACCAGTAAACATCCAGAAAAGGAAGCGGTGATCACACTCAGCCTGTAGAATTTGACAACCATCAAAATCAAGGTCATTCATCTGTTACTCCAGTTTCCTGTTATCACTGAACAAAATCAAGCCTTCTTATTCTCCTCCAACAGTCAGACAGCACCTCTCCTTTTCTCTGTCATCCTTCCCTTTGGAAAAAAAAATACTTGCTTTGTTTTGACATCACCTTCCTTCTAAACCAATTTCTTCTCTCCACACCATTAGATATATAATGGGTGATGTCTAAAATCAAATTAGTGGAACATAGAAAAAATAAACTGTCAGATCTATTGATGGAGGAAGAGATCATGATCAGAGAAGAAATAGCTTCACTGGAGGTAAAATAAATGAGTATGATTACATAAAATGAATGACTTTCTGCAAAAACAAAACAAAGGCAGTTAACAGAAGAAAAAAACAGGAAAATAGGAAGAACATCTTGGCATCAAGTTTGTCTGATGAAAGTCTCCTTTTTAGGTATCTAAAGAGGTGAGTCCAATTTGTGAGTCCAACTGAAAAGTGGTTAGAGAATAGGAAGAGCCCATTTTCAGAGGAGGAAATCAAAGGTATCAATAGCCATATGAAAAAATGCTCTGAATCACCAATGAGTAGAGAAATGTCCATTCAAAGTGCCCTGAGGTACTACCTAGCACCCATCAGGTAGGGAAGAGAACCAAAAGGGTGTATGAGAAGTGTTGAAAGGCTTCAGGGACAACAGGCTCTCTAGGGGACTGTTGGTAGAACTGTGAACTAGTCCAAGCTTTCTGGTGTCGACCTAAAAGTTTGGTTAAGAGACAAGCTAGGTGATAAGTAAATTCATATTGTTTATTCCCTTAAGTTAGCAACATGCACACGGAGCCAGAGCTTTAACTCTGACTGACTCAAGCAATTTTAGGAGGACATTTAAACCCTGACTCAGGAAATCTGTGTTACTCAAAAAATATATAGCCTCCATATGTTTTTTAACATATAGCATGAGAAAGGAAGTTTCTTAGTTGAATAGGTTATAAATACAATAAAACAGGAGAATGTCAAAGTGTCAATTGAAATTATAGATCCAGGACATCTGTGTTTCCCCTGCATAACATATGTACATAGGATACAAAGATAAGATAAGTCCCACTATTCAAGACAGTGTTTGGTCCTAGGCACCCTGCCCTTGGTGATCACAGACAGGAAGAATGCTGGTCAGTTTCATCTGGTCCTGTAGTGGCTGACATAGGAAGGGGTATTTTTAGTTCACTCAGAAAAGATTAATTCAGGTTTTTGGCCCTTATTCAGACTCAGTTGATCTTAAATGATTATCACTGGAAAGTAGTTGGGAACTATGCCCCCAAAGCTATTAGACAGCAGATTCTTTCACCCAGCAAGGTATACTGTTATCAATTCATGTAACACAATTGTTACACATTATCACACACATACATTAGAAAAATCTTAACATACAAAGAATCCTTTAATCATTTAATACTACCATTGTCTTAAAGTGATTTATTATCTTCTCCCAAGCAGTGAATGAATTTGCTCTCCTTTGGGTCAGACATAGGCAAAGTGCATTTCTTCTCTTTCACAGTCAAAATCCCAGAACAAAGAACGCCCACTGGTGGCATCTGCCTTCACTATATGCAAACTATGTTAGAACACAGCTACAAAAGAGCTGTAGAGAAGTGGAAAAACTATAAGAGTGAACGAGAAGGTGGCAGAAGTACACAAAGAAAATGAAGCAAGGAGTCAACAGAAAGATCAGGAAGCCCCACCTTCAGGCTCCACTTTGGATGGTGTGTGTGTGTGTGTGTGTGTGTTTTGATAAGTTTTTCTGACTTTTCTCTTACCCTTTCACACTCTTAATAAAACTCATTTGTAATCTGAGATTTCTGTCTGGGAGAGGATGAGGGAGGAATACTGGTTGAAATTCTGGTGATGGGGAAAACATTTCAATAAAATTTATTTTTAAAAACACTACTATCTTTGTAAGTTGTATTGCTTAGCTATTTTCTCTTCATGTTTCTAACAGTATTGTTGAGGTTTGTAGTTGGGAGAGCTGGTTCTCGTGTGAAAGAATTCACTTGGACCTTCTCTGTAGCCATTGGGAGCTTTATTTCGTCAAAGCTTCATGGGCCTGAGGTTAGGAAGGAGCTAAACAAAGGGGCGCCAATATAGGAAAAGACCCAGGCTTATATAGACAGAAAGCTACACAGCCTGCAGGATAATGGTATATTTTTAGAGTTTTACATGGGAGTTAGAGATCAGGGACAAGACAAGAACAAATAAGATGAGGAAGATGGTTGACACAGGATGAGGAAGATAAATGACAGAATAAAGTCACTGGATAAGGGAGGCAAAGGAAATTCTTTTGGTGCGAGTTGTATGGCATTTCAAGATAAAGGGAAAAGGACTTGAAAAGTTTTCAAGTTCCAGGATCTCAAGATACAGGATGGGCTACAGAATGAGCCTCAAACCACCTCAGGGGCCTGGGAAAGTAATCCTTAATATTATTTTTAATCCTAGGGCACTCTTTGCCCCCACATCAGTATTCTAAATATGTATTGGCATTACAATCTGTTAGTTCTACTTAGAATGTAAGACATTGGGAATCAAGGGAAGACTGTCCTGAAGCAGAGGCTGAAAGTTGTAAGATTTTATTACCCTAACCAAGACACCCCTGTGCTGCTCTCCAGAGGTTTGCAGCCACTTACTTCATTGGGAGTAAGAGAACAATCCAGGTCTCAGACATTTGCCATCCCTGTGACCCTGAGGTAGTCTCATCCTTGTTCTCTGCCCCTTTATTTGTATCCTCATTTGTAAAATTAGCATAGCCGTAGCATCTCCCTCAGAAAGTTGTTACAAGGATCGAATGAGTTAATATTGTAGAATGCTTAGCACAATGTTAGGCACTGTTACCTATTAAATTTGTGCTTAATTATTACCTCCTTTTTTTCTTCCATCATTCCTTCCTTTTCTGGGCAAAATCATTAATCACTTGTCTGTAGGGAAAATAACAAGTCATCACCCTCATGACGTCATTGGTCCTCAAACCAATCAGAAAAACATTAGGGAATCTAACTGGAATTTGCAGGCTAACCATTAACATTAACGCTATATAGCTGGTGACAGAAAAATCTCCTCATAAATAAAAAGAATTAACAAAGCTAAGCAAAAAATTCTCTCATCACTAACCTAAGTTAAAGTTTGATGTCGCAACTAAATTCTGCAAGCTTTGGCTTGGGGGGGAGGGGAGGGAGAAGTCCTCCCCGCTCAGGTCAGCCCACGGCGCCTGCGCAGTGGCGTCGCTGCGCTCTACGGCCAGGGAAGGGATGCTGCAGGTGAGCCAGGTAGGGGGATACCGCTGAGCTCCTGCACCTCGGGCCGTGCGCGAGCCCGCCCACAGAATCCAGAGGCACTGGGACGCCTTTGCTCACGCTTCTCCCAGTGCCCTCACTCGTTCTGCTATTCCCGTCCCCGCTCGTGGACATCCGACCCATTTTAAGACGCTGCCCCAAATGCCACCTTCGCCCAACCGCCTCTGACCAACCTCTAGCTCACGCCAATGACCCCGGCTCTAGGCCTGCCGAAGCAACTGCTTGCACGTGTCTCATGTATCTATCGTGAATTTTGTGCATTTTGACATTCTAATACAAAATGAATGTGTTATTCAGGGAATGATTTGGGAGCATTTATAAACGGAAAGGCTGCGACCACCTAGAAAGAAGAGGATGATATTCCTGGGCGGTAGTTATCCTGGGCATGCGCAGAGAGCGTCCTTAGCCCCCCCTCCCCTCCTCGACTACATTTCCCAGAGGGCGCAGGGGTCTGGTCCCGGAAGCTTTCCCTTAGAAAAGTTAATAGACCGAATTGAGCATGCGCCGCCGGAAGTGTCCTCTCCGGGCCGGAAACGGGGCGGAAGCCTCGGTGCATTTTGTTTGGCGGCCTCCGCACCTCCGGCTCTGGGCTCGCCCTCTCCCGCAGAGCCCCGTCCCCTCCCCGCCGCCCTCCGGGCCCTCCTGCTCGGGATGGCGGCGCAGCCCTGTGCCCGGCCGGACTCGGAGCCCTGGGGGGAGCGCGCGGGGACGTGGGGGGCCGGGCGTCCCCCGGGGCTGGGGGCGGCGGAGGGGCCGGGGCGGCTCGGGGCGCGGGCCCCGGGCGAGGGCGAGGTGGCCCTGAGGAGCCTCCCCGGTGGGGCCCGACCAGCCCCGGCCTGCCAGGTGAGGGGGGCGGGGGAAGGGCGTGGTGCGGCCTGTTCATTCCCCCGGAGTTTGCTCATTCATTCCTCTGGACCTTCACTCCTTGGCGGTGGCGGTTGCCCGGTGCATTCATTCTGTATTTCATTGTTGCCCCGTGCATTCGCTCCCTGTTTCATGCATTCGCTCATTCAGTCATCCCAAGGCAATGGAAAAGTGACCTGGAGCAGGGGGAACAGCAGAGCTGGATTTGGTGTCTGAAGATGTAGGTTCGAGTCCAGTCCTTTTGCTAATATTGGAATGAACTTTCTTACCTTCCCTCCTTGTGTGGCCGGTCTGTGGTTGAGGGATGGGGTGCAGGAGAAGGAAGGGAAATTGAAGCAAATGATCCCAACGTGCTCCCGGGCTCAGATCTGTGAACCTGTGAACTATTTCACGATAAACCTGGGAATTAATGTGGCCTGGCCCAGCGGTCCGATTATGGTAGTCACCTGTAGGACTTACGTTGGGATGAGTCTAGAATGGGAAGGCTCATGACGTGATGGATCCCCACAAGTGTGAGTAGGTGAGGTCCTATCTACATACTTTTAAATTGAAGTGGTAACATTAAAATGTGAAAAAGAAGTTCAGAGGTCAACTCAAATCAACCAGCATTTAATAATGGCCTCCTGTTTGGCAGGCAGTATGCAAGCAATGGGGATAGAAGGAAAGACAAAAAAAAGGCCTTGTTCTGAAGGAATGCACAGTCTTAACAAAGGAGAGGACGTAGAAACGGTTATGCTCAGACAGGCCGTGTGCTGGATATACTGGGGGATAGTCTCCCAGGGAAGGCAGTAACATTAAGGAGAACAGGGAACAGCTTCTTGCAAAAGGTGGGATTTTAGTTGAGACCTGAAGGAAGTCACAAAGTCGAAAATGAGAATCAGTCAACTACTAGCTTTTATTAAGCACCTATTTTTATGCCAAGGACTGAGCTAAGTGCTGGGAAAACAAAGACCAGAAAGAAAAAAAAATCCAGTGTCTACCCTCAAGGAACTCACATTTTAATGGAGAAGGCAACATGCAAACAGCTGTGTCAAATAAGTTATAGACAATAAATTGGGGGCTAGTCTCAGAGGGGAGATAAGATAAAAGAAGCTTGAGAAGAGCGTCTTGCAGAAGATGGGACTTCATCTGTGACTTGAAGGGAGTCAGGAGTGGAGCATTCCAGGCTTGGAAACAGCTAATGACAATGCCTGAAGTCAGGAGATGGAGGGTCCTGTGCAAGGAACTGCTAGGAGGCCTGTATCACAGCATCAAAGAGGACATGGAGGGGCAGGAGGTATAAGAAGACTGGAAAGGTAGGAAGTGGCTAGGTTATGAAGGGCTTAATAAACAAACAGGATTTTATACTTGACATGGGAGGTGATAGGGGACCACTGGAGTTTATTGATTGTGTATGAGTGTGAAGGTCACATCTGCCCTTGAGGAAAGTAAATTTGACAGTTGAAAGAAGGAAGGATGGAAAGAAGGAGTGGAGGAAGACCAGCTTGCAAGTTATAGCAATAGTACAGGTGTGAGGTAATGAGGGCCTGCACTCTGCTCTGTACAGAGAAGGGAGTATATTTGGAAGAAATGAAATTAGAATCCACAGGACTTGTCAACAGATTGGCTCTGAGGGTGAGAAGAAAAAGTGAGACATCAGGGATGACACCTAGGTTTTGGACCTGTGTTACTGGAAGGATAATTATGCCCTTGACAACAATGGGAAAGGGAAAGGAATTGGGGGAGAAAGACAATGAGTTATATTGCAGATATATTGAGTTTAAGATGTCTATAGGACATCCAATCTAAAATGTCCAGTATGTAGTTGGAGACTGTAGTCTGGAAGTCAGGAGAGCTGTTAGGGCTGGATAAATTAAGATTTAGTGTCATCTGCATAGAGGTAATAATTGAGTCATGGGAGCTGATGAGATCACCAAGTGAAATTGTATATAGAGAAAAGGGTAGAGGTCCTAGGACCGAACCTTGGAGTACACCCATGGTTAGTTGTTTGTCCTTCGTTTTTGAAGAGAGCCATTGACATTACAGGGTGATGTCTTGACTCGCTCATGAAGTGGATTTGAGTGAGGCGGAGTTGCACAAAGTGGTCAGCCTCACTTTCTCTTCCTGAGTCATCCAAGTCCAGTGGCAAGACAAAATTCGGGGTGACCTCGGCATCTTTGATGTCTCGGCTGCTTCAGCTGCCTTCATGGCCGTTTGAGCAAATTGTTCTCATCCACCTGTTCTGCCAGGGGGCAGTGTTCACATACTTGGGGGAGACATACCCCTTACTCATCAACAGGTTTGAGGCCTGTGGGTTACCCTCAATTCGTTTTAGCCCATCTGCCCAGGTCATTAGGTGTGACCTGAGAGAAGATTCAAAGTCAAGAGCGCAATGCAGCCATAAAAATTCAGCCCTGGAAAACAGTGATTTAATCAAGACACTAATATCTATTTTTAAAGTAGTAGACTTAGGAGGGGGAATATAATTGGAGTTATGTAAAAAAAGTCTCATCAAAATATTAGCTGTCTTGTGGAAAGTAAACAAATCCAGGAAATTTTGTTTGGCTTGACTGAATGTTTGTTACTAGGGCTTTGTTTTTCTTTCTTATTCAGGGAGGTGGGAGAGGAAAAGTAGATATCTGTTATTGAAAACAAATTAAAAATAAAGAAGATCCAGCAGAGGAGACTGAGGAGTGGTCAGGTAGGCAGGAAAGCCATGAGAAAATAGTGTCAGGCAAGTGTAAGGCAGCAAAAAGTGAGACTGCTGAGCCATTTTCCTTATTTTAGAGTTTGAGACAGGTCGTCAGGTGACTTGGGAGCTTGAAGGGGGGAAATGGCTTAACTTTGGGCTAATCTTGGGTGGCTTAGGTGGTGTGGTGGATAGAGTGCTGGACCTGCAGCCGGGAAGACTCATCTTCAAGAGTTCAAATCCAGCCTCAGGCACTAAATGTGTGATCCTGAGCAAGTCATTTAACTGCTTGCTTTCATTTCCTTGTCTGTAAAATGAGCTGGAGAAGGAAATTGGCAAACCTTGCCAGTATCTTGACCAAGAAGAGCCCCAATGCGATCACAAAGAGTCGGGCCCTCTTGGTGGGGTAGATCTCTAGTTAAACTTATCAGAATGTCTAGGTGAGACTGGAGGTATAAGATACTGGAGGGGCCTCCCTTTGAGATGGAATCAGATTGAGAGTCCTTATTCACACAACCCTCAGGCTGCATTTCTTTGACCCCTGAGCCTAATATCTTCCCCCAGAATCACTGCACTCTGCGTTTGTATGTTTCCTCCATGGTAGTATCCCAAAAACCTAGAAAGAAGAGAGCTTCCAGGTCATGGGATGATTGACATTGTCAAATCCTGCAGAGAAGCCTAGGAGAATTGAAAAAAGGCCTTTGAGTTTGGCAACTAAGATTGTTAATTTTAGAGAGAGCCATTTCAGCTAAATGATGAGACTTGAAAGAAGGTAAGGGAGAGAAGTGGAGATACCTCTCTTAGACAACCTCAGCCTTCTTGAAGAATTCAGTCACAAGAGAAAGGATGGGTCAAGTGATTAGAGGAGAGATGGGTGTGTTTGTAGGCTTTGGAAGAGCAACCAGTAGACAAGAAAAGATTGAAGATGAGTGAAAAAGGAGGGGTGACAGAGAATGTAGTCCCTTGGAAGAGACAAGATAAATCATCTGTGCAGGTAGAGGAGTTTGCCTCAGAGAGAAGAAGGGTCATCTCTAAATGTAAGATAGGGTAAGGGAGGAAATAGTGGGAGGAAGGCATGTAGGCAATGTGAGATAGGTGGGGAGATGGGGAAGAAAGGGAAAAGGAAATAGCATTTATATAGCACCTGCTATGTACCAGGTACTGTGCTAATTTGATATTCTCAACAACCTTGTAAGGTACATGATATCCACATTTTGCAGATCAGAAAACTGAGATAGAGGTTAGGTGACATACTAAGTATCTGAGGTTGGATTTGAACTCAGGTCTTCCTGACTCCAGTCCCAGTTGCTCTGTCCACTGCACCATTGGGTGCAAGGAGCAGCTGTATGGCTGGGTGGCTCGTGTTATGGAAGAGTCTTGCGTGATATAGGCACACCATAGTGCAGTAGAAATTTTAACTCTAATTCCACCATTTATAATGTGATGTTGGGTTGGTCACCTTCCTTCCTGAGTCAGTTGCCCTGTATAGTGGGGTAGTAATTCCTTATGCCGCCTAGCTCACCAGATACTCTGCTTTGTAAGCCAGAGCACTGTAGAAATTCCAGGCTCTACTGTCAATGGGCTGGGTGAAGCAGGTATACATTGCTGCTAGGGAATTTGCACTGTTGGCATTCCTGCCCTGGGGCTGGACCATATTTTCACCCCCTAGATGGTTGTACCAGTCTCCTCTCCTCACCCTGGTGTCAGGTTTCTCATCTTTTACCTCGTGCAGAGAGCATTCCATTGTTCTGTTCCCTGCACTTTCACTTGCCATTCAGGGCCCTACTAACCTCTGTTGCACCATACAGCTTTCAAAAAATGAATCTACTGGGGCAGCTAGGTGGCGCAGTGGATAAAGCACCAGCCCCAGATTCAAGAGGACCTGAGTTCAAATCCGGCCTCAGACACATATCACTTACTAGCTCTGTGACCCTGGGCAAGTCAACCCCATTGCCTAACGAGAAAGAAAAAGTGAACCCACTAACAGGAATTTGTTAAGCACCTACTGCGTGGTAGACAAGTTTACCTTTCAGTGGGGTTAGATACTCTAACCAAGCCAGAAACTTTTCTTTTTTTTGAATTAAAGCTATTTTCCATGAACAAAAACATGTTCTCTCCTTTCAATGTCTCCTCCTCCCAGCACTAAAAGGGAGAAAAACAATTTCCTTGCTTTCCAGTCAAGCAAAACAAATTCCCAAATTGACCATGTTCACAAAAAAAAAGTCTGCTTTCTAATGAACCCTCAGGTGTTTGTCCTGAGATGTTCTACATCCTAAAAACTGTGAGAATCACCCCTGAAAAAACCTGTGAGTTTCGTGTGCGGTCGCAGTTCATGCAATGACAGGTCCCTGCCCTGAGTGAGCAGGCATATTTTTGGTATTTCAGCCATCAGTGACCTTCAAAGATGTCGCTGTGGACTTCACCAGGGCGGAATGGGAGCATCTGGATTCTGCTCAGAGAGATCTCTACAGAGACGTGATGCTTGAGAACTATAAGAACCTCGTCTCGCTGGGTAAGGACGGTTCTCCCCGAAGGACTTTTTGCAGATGCCTCTGAGCTTTTAGCTGGCATAACTGAAAACATTTACCAGTTTTACTCTTGATATGACAGGATATTCAAGGATCAATTGAATGTGAAGTTATTCCTAATGGTTAAGAGACGAAGTGTTTCTGTTCCCACTGGAAAGGGCCTACTTTGTACAGTGGAAATCTGTAGCATCATTGCCCTGTTCCTGAAGCTGCTACCTCCCAAAGCACAAAGTCCAATATTAGTCATGGATTGGGTCAAGTGAATTCATTTTGTTTCGGAGCCAGACTCCTTGGTTTTGTGGACCTCTACAGAGAGTCCTTCAGAGGTGCTTTGTGACCACTCCTGGGCTTTCCTGGGATTCCCTTCTTTCTCTGAAAGTAAAGAGATTAGGATTGGATTCTGAAGTGATTCCTTGTACCCAAAAGTTTCCCATTTCTTTTCCTGAGCAGGGTTTCCAATTTCCAAACCAAAAGTGATCTCCAAGTTAGAAAGAGGAGGTGCACATTGGATGCTTGGGAGAAGAGTTTCCAGAAGGCCCTTTCCAGGTGAGTGAGATATGAGTGCCTGCTGGCTGTAGCAGAGAAGCTGGAGGAGAGCAAGCTGTTCTTATTCACAGTTCCTGGAGCGGGGGTGGGAGCGGGGCTGTAGGGTTAAATGGCCTGAGACTGTCCCATGTAAATTCTATCTTAGTCATTCATCGGTTTTTTCCCTCCTATTCAGTTAAATGACAGGTTTGGAAATGACCTAAAGAACCATCTAGTTCAAACTCTTGACCTTGGAGATGCAACTTCATGCTTTGTCAAAGGAAAATGTTGACCTGGAGGACCTCTGAGGCCCTTTCCGGCTCCAGAGCTATGAGAGAGAGAGGGCTAAAGCGACTGAGGCAGGGTTGTGCCGTCCTGAAGGAGCAGAACCATGCTTTGAACCCAGGTTGCCTGTGCCCCACGTCCAATAGAGCAATTACCTTGTCCTCAGAAATATCACACTTTACTACGTCATGAATGAGAAAATTAGAAGAGTAAGAAGAGCCGAGTGGCATTGCCGAGGTTAAAACTTTTTATTTTATTGCCCAGAATTAGATGTTGAGATCAGATGGCTGGCAGAGTAGAAAGAACACGGCCCTAGGATTTGGGAGCTTTGGGCTCTGGTACTATCATTGGCTTGGCTCTTGGCATCCTTCCCTGAACTTCCTTGTCCTGATCTGTAAAATGAAGAGAGTGGCTCAGGCCAACCTCCATGTTTAGAGTGCACGCTCTCTTCCCCTCTGGCCTTCGAAGTAAGTGCTGTCTGTCATGTCTAAGCTCAGTGACAGCCTTGTGTGTGAGGCCTTTCCCAAACCCTCTCGGTGGTTTATGCTCTTCCAAAAACGTGTGTATTAGCTGTGGAGTGATGTGTCCCTCAGTCAGCAAGCTTTTGAATGCCTGCTCTGTGCTAGGCCCTTGCGGTGGAGAGCGAAAGGATCCTGTAGGATAGTCACATTCTCTTGAAGAAAATATTCATGATGTGCAGGTGCAAGGATTTGGAGTTGTCTGACAGTCTGATAGTCTCTCTTTCCTGGATGCCTGGACATGTCTTTTCTAACAAGATTTTTTCCAGCAGTTTTTTGGAGGTGTTTAGTGCTGCACCAGAGTTCTGTTTGCCTCATTGGGTTCTGAATTCTAGGCACTGTGACAGCAGAGGGTAGCCTCTGATAATTCCTAGGTCCCTTGTCTAAAGACCAGCTTAGGTGAGGTAAGAGCAGCTCATCTGTACTCACCCACAGCATGGTGATAAATGGGTCAGTCTTACCAAATCTTGAACACTGAGTTAGAGAGGGCTTGTGTCCTTTGCCTGGTGAAAGGAGCAGTATGAGTAATAACCAGTGTAATCATAGATCTCTAAGTGTGGAACTGTTCAGGGCTTTCCATGTCCAGCATTTCCAGCTCTCTTTGAAGAAAATGTGCAAGATATTGAAATCTGGGGTTTCTGAGTAGTCTATCAACCTTGGGTAGTTTTTACATGTTCTGTTTTTATTTTTTTTTTGTTTTGGTTTGGCAACAGGGTTAAGTGACTTGCCTAGGGTCACACAGCTAGTAAGTGTTATGTGTCTGAGGCCGGATCTGAACTCAAGTCCTCCTGAATCCAGGGCTGGTGCTCTATCCACTGCACCACCTAGCTGCCCCATGTTCTGTTTTTACATTACAAATTACATTTCATATTATCCCCACTCTGTGAGAGCTCTCTTGTAACAAAGTAAAGCAGTTAAGCAAAACTAATAATGGTAACTTCTGTTATTCTTGTGTTTTTGTTTTTTTTTAGGGGGGTTGGCAATCAGGGTTAAGTGACTTGCCCAGGGTCACACAGCTAGTGAGTGTTATGTGTCTGAGACCAGATTTGAACTCAGGTCCTCCTGACTCCAGGGCCAGTGGTCTATCCACTGTGCTACCTAACTGCCCCTGGTAACCACTTCTAAAAGTGCATACCACATTCCATATCTGTAGCACCCCCCCACACACACCTTCTCTATTTTTTAAAGTGGTTTTTTTTTTTTTTTTTTTTTTTTTTGGTGAGGCAGTTGGGGCTAAATGACTTGCCCAGGGCTGGATTTGAACTCAGGTCCTCCTGACTCCAAGACTAGAACTCTATCCACTGTGCCACATAGCTGCTTTGTAAAGTGTATTTTTAATTGATGGAAATCTGTTTTCTCCCCGCCTCATCCTCTGTCCTACTGGAAAAAAAAAAACAAAAGAAAAATAAATTCCTTGTAACAAACATGCATAGGCAAGCAAAAGCACTTCCCTTTTTGGCTGTATACAAAAATATACCTTTCAGAAGGAGATATGCCAAGTGAAGTAGTGTAGAGGGAGGAGAGGAGGTATAAAGAGAAATATCGGAAGCCCTGGAGGGACCAGAGAGGGCAATTTGGGATCAGAGTTTAGATCAGCATCGCCACATACCTGAGTTACTGAACATGGCTCCTAATTAGTCTTCCTAAGCATTCCAGCTAGTGGAAACTGGGTGGCACAGGGGATAGAGCATTAGACCTGGAATCAGGAAGACCTAAGTTTAAATCCAGCCTCAGACGTGTAACTGTGTGACCCAGGATAAGTCACTTTACCTATGTTTGTCTCACTTTCCTTGACTGTAAAATGGGGATAATAATAGCACCCACCTCCAAGGGTGGTTGTGAGGATCAGATGAGAAAATGTTTGTAACGTACTTGGCACAGTACCTGGCACTATATAAATGCTATTATTATTATGCTTCTGACCTTACCATTCCAACAAAACTGCTTTAAGTTACTAGTGATCTCTTAGGTTGCAAAACCAACAGCCTTTTCTCAAAACTCATTTTCCTCAACTCTGCAGACTTTGACACTGTCCATTACTCTCTCCTCCTTAATGCTCTCTTCTCTCTGGGTTTTCTCTCTTCTGGTTCTCCTTCTACCTGTCTGACTGCTCATTCTCTGTCTTCTTTGCTGGCTCCTCCTCTAAATCACACCGTCTAACCACAGATGTCCCTCAGGATTTTGTCCTGGGCCTCCTTCTCTTCTCCCTCTATACTACTTCACTTAGTAAGCTCATCAGCATCATCTTTATGCTGATCATTCTCAAATCTACCTATCCTGCCTCAGCCTCTCTACTAACCTCCGGTCTTGCATTTTCCATTGTAGACATGTTATACTCAATGTGTCCAAAACAGAATTCACTGTCTTTCCCCCTAAACCCTCCCCTTCCTACCTTTACTATTACTGTTGAGGGTATCACCATCCTTGTATTCTTGAAACCTATGAGTCATCCTGGACTCCTCACTGTCTTTTTACCCCCTCCCCTCCATCCAGTCTATTGCCAAGGTCAGTTGATTTCAGCTTTGCAACATCTCTAGAATATGCCACTTTCCAAACATGTCGCCCTCTCTACTCAGTAAACACAAGTAGTTCTCTATCACTTCCAGGATCAAATATAAAATCCTCTGCTTTGTGTTCAAAGCTCTTTATAACCTAGCCACCCACCAACCTTTCCAGTCTTCTTACACCTTACTCCTGAACAAGTTCTATAAAATCCAGTAACATTGGCCTCCTGGTTGTTCCGTGAACAAGACACTCCCATCTCTCAGCTCCAGGCATTTTCCTCCAGCTAAAATCTTACCTTCTACAGGGAACCTACCCCATCCCCTCTTGGGTCTTTACTCTTTCAGTTATTTTCTATTTATCCTGTGTATAGCTTGATCATACATTGTTGTTTGCTTGTCGTCTCCCCCATAAGGTTGAGAGCAGGGACTATTTTTTTGCCTCTTTTTGAATCCCCAGGGCTTAGTACAGTGCCTGGCACAGAGTAGACAATAAACGCTTAATAAGTGACTGACTCATCCTCATCCCCTCTGGACTCAAGTTATCAGTGATTTCTTAATGGACAAGTCTAAGGGCCTTCTCTTCATCGATATCCTTATAAGGATAAAGACATAAATTCTGTTAACATTTGACACTGACAACCCTCTCTTCTTAAATACTCATTCCTCCAGTTTTTGTTGTACTACCTTCTCCAAGTACTTCTCCTATCTTTGTAACTACTCCTCAGTTTTCTTTGCTGGGCTTCAAATAGGTCAATCCTACTATCCTCCAAAGTTCTGTCCTGAGCCCTTTTCCCTTTTTCTTCTATACTTTCTTGTTTAGTGATCTTAGCTCCTATAGTTTCAATTTACATTAAGATCTCTTTGTGAATTATTCCCCAATCTCCCTGATCAGTTTATCTAGCCCTAGTTTGTTTCCTGAGCATTTAGAGTTAGGCTGCATCATCAACTGGCTGTCAGACATTTTAGACTTTATGTCCTGTTGGCATCTTAAATGAAGCTTTTTAAAAAGCTATTTAGTAACACAAGTCAACATATCAACTAAATCAGTTAACCTACTTTGATTGAGATTATTCAAACAACTTTTAAGTCTTCTTAGCTCTTCTGTTATCAAGCCCATACTTCTCAAGACATCTTGACCATCTTGTCTTAACTCTGACATCAAAAACTTGCTGAAATTTAATTACTAACTCACTAACCAACCCCAAAATCTTATGGATATAAAAAGTAGGTTAGCTTTGCATAATTTCTTCACTTTTCCCCCTGAATTTTGGATTTTGTTGCTTTCTTTTTTTTTAAGCACTCAAAATTAGCGAGTTGAACTTGGGTTTTGTTTCAGTTTTGTTTTTGTCTTTTGTCAAGAGATCACTGTTAGGATTAGCAGTCTGTCATTTTCAGAAACAACCCGTTTTCCTTTTCTGAAAATTTAGACATTTCCCCCAGTTTACCTGCAATAAATCTGTAATGGCATGATGAGATGCTTTAAGTACTATGAAACAATCCCTTTAGTACTGAACAGGTAAGTTTATCGTATCTTATACATGAGGCTTTAGTTTCCTGTTATCAGTCTTTGTTCTAGTCATTCATTTTCATTTTTGTTGATAAAGTACAAATACTTCATAACTTATTATAAAGAATCTTTTATTATAGTTCAAACAAACTGTAATATTGACATTATTGTGTTTCTTTCAGGTCGCCTTTGTCAGAATAGGGGTAAAAGCAAGGATTCCACTCCAAAGCAGTGTAATTATATTTCATTAAAGAAAAGACTTATAGTGAATAATAAGGAATGTGTTGAAGCCTTAAGACAGAACAGATACCTTAGTGGGTATCAGAAAATTCATATTGGAAAGAAACTCTATAAATGTAATGAATGTGAAAAAGCCTTCAACTCCAACTCAAGCCTTACTGTACATCAACGGATTCATACTGGGTTAAAACCATATATATGTACTGAATGTGGGAAAGCCTTCAGCCAAAAAGGAAACCTTACTAAACATAAAAGAAATCATACTGGGGAGAAATCCTATAAATGTAATGAATGTGGAAAAGCTTTCAGAGACAGAGGATACCTTACTATTCATCAGAAAATTCATACTGGGGAGAAATCATATAAATGTAATGTATGTGGGAAAGCCTTCAGCCAGAAGGGACACCTTACTGTACATCAGACAATGCATACTGGAGAGAAATCCTTCAAATGTGATGAATGTGGGAAAGCCTTCAGTCAGAGGGGAAGCTTTAATATACATCAGAAAATTCATACTGGAGAGAAATCCTTCAAATGTGATGAATGTGGGAAAGGTTTCATTGACAGAGGAAACCTTAATAAACATTATAAAATTCATACTGGAGAGAAATCCTACAAATGTAACGAATGTGGGAAAGCCTTCAGCCAGAGGGGAAGCCTTAATAAACATCATAAAATTCATACTGGAGAGAAATCCTATAAGTGTAATGAATGTGGAAAAGCTTTCAGCCAGAGAAGTTACCTTACAATACATCAGAAAATTCATACTGGAGAGAAATCCTATAAATGTAATGAATGTGGGAGAGCTTTCAGGCAGAAAGGACACCTTACTGTACATCAGAGAATTCATACTGGAGAAAAACCCTATAAATGTAATGAATGTGGTAGAGCCTTCAGAAAGACTGGACACCTTGCTGTACATCAGAGAATTCATATTGGAGAAAATCCTTTTAGTACAATGAATGTTGAAAGACTTCAGCCACAAGATATTCTTTATTTATCTTGACGGTTCATGCAGACACTTTCGAAGTAATGAGAATGGGAGAGTTTTTACCAAAAGTGAAAAAAAATCACTGAATGCTTAATCATAGAATGAGAGGGTTTGGAGTTGGAAGTGACTTTTGAAATGTATTCTAGTTCCTTGAGTCTGACAGCTGATGGGGTAAATGGGCTGGAAGCAAACTGAGCTCCTCAATGTCACTCAGGTAGTAAGTAGCAGATAAAGGATTGGAACTGAGATCTGAGCCAAATCTAGTTTTCTTTTCATTGCACCATGCTGACCTCAGAATTCATATTGGAGAGAAAACCTTTGAATGCAGAGTACAGGCTGGTCTTCAGCAGCAATTCATACTTAGTCCACAAAGCATTTCAGAATTGGAAATGGCCTCAGTAGCTATTTAACGTAACCCATACTTTAAAAAGAATCTGACTACCACACACACCCATGAACTAATCATTCAGCTTTTACTTGAAGATGTTTCATAAAGGGTAAACCACTCCTTCCTCAGGCAGCCCATTCCTCTTTGGAGTAGCTCAGGGGGGAGAGTACAGAGGCATCAAAATGAGATATTCTGGAAAACAAAAGGCAATGGTTATATATGTAACATATATGTAAAATATTGTTGATGTGTTTTTTTTTAAAGCATGATACTTAGAACTAACACAATATTCGAGATGTAGTCTCAGCACTCCAGAATTCAATGGAACTATGGCCTCCTTTTTCATGGAAGCTGTCTGTCTTATTTCGGCATACAGTAGCATTAGCTGTTTTGGTTGTCATAGCAAACTGTTGGCCCATTGGACCTGCAGACCATTAAAATCCACAGATCTCCTTTTTTCTGCAATACAAATCCAATAACAAACCTGATTTTAAACATACTTTCCTCATCTTTTAATTGTGAAGTTGATTTTTTCACTTCTGAGTGTAAAATTTATTTGTGTGTATATACTCATACATTTAATTCCCATCTTTTTAGATTCAACTTGATGTGTTAGTCTGTCGAGATCTTTTAAAATTCAAATCAAATCATCAAATGTGGTAACTGTCCCTCCCAGATTGATATCATCTGCAAATTTGATAAAGATGCCATCTATGCCTTTCTCCAAGTCATTGATAAAAATAAAATGTAAATTCACTGAGGGTAAGGACTATAATTTTGAGTCTATCCCTTGCACCAACCCTGCATCAACTCTTAAGAACCATTTGTTGAATGAATAAATGTTGAATTGCACAAAGCCAAGCATTCATCCTAGGGATACTTTACAGAATACTTTACCCCAAGATGACATTGAACATTTAATGACTGCTCTTTGGGTTGTGATTGATTCAGTAGAGATATATGTAGTGTTTTACCCTTTAGGGTAAAACAAAAATTGACTTCACAAGTTCAGGAATAGGGATACGTAGCAGTTTAAGATCTGAAAGTGTCAGTGGACTTCAAGCTCAATATGTGTCACTATTGTGTTGTGACAGTCAAAAAGTCTAATGCAATCTCAGACTGCATTAAGAAGTTTAACTTCAGGGATAGCTAGGTGGCACAGTGAATAGAGCTCTGACCTTGGAGTCAGGAGGACCTGAGTTCAAATCCAGCCTCAGACACTTAATACTTACTAGCTGTGTGACCCAGGGCAAGTCACTTAACCCTGATCGCCTCACCAAAAAAAAAAAAAAACATTCCACGAATAAGAAGTCTATTGTCCTATACTTTACCTTCATCAGACCTTACCTGGAGTACTATGGTAGTATGTTTAGGGCACCACAGTTTAAGAAAGACGTTGATAAGGTAGAAGTGTCGAGAGCATAGTAACAAGGGTGGTGAATGAGGTTGAGTCAAGGTCATAGGATTATTGGGTGAAGGTACTGGAGTTGCTTTTAGCCTAAATTTGAGAGGACTTGAAAACCTAAGAGCTGTGTTCAAGTATTTAAAGGCCTATTCAAAGGGCAGAAACAGGGGCAGTTGGTGGAAATTGCAAAGAGACTTGAGTTCGGGAAAAACTAACAGTTGTCCTGAAAGTGGCATGAGTGATCCTGAGAGGCAGTGAATTCCCATGGGTCTTTGAACAATTGATGGATAATCATGTATCGAATATGTAAAAGTGAGTATTCCTTTTGGATGTGGGTTGGTCTTAATGGCTGCTGAAGTCCTTTCTAACTTCCAGATTCAAAATTGTGATTCTGAGGCTAGTCATCCGATCGGTTCAGATCCATCACTTTACTGTCCTTTAGCCCACGTTTCCATATCCACAAGAATAGCATGAGATTCTTGATCAGAGCATTTGTTGTAATGTAGGTCAACCTGACCCATCAGTTTAATAAACCCTTTATAAGAGGATATAAGGTTATTCTGTCATTACCTATTTTTGATGAAGCTATGTTGCTTTCTGTGATCACATTTTCTTTTTCTACGTACTTGCTAAACATCTTCAGATAGCTTTCCTTTATCTTTTTGTTCTCAGAGCAATATTTGCTTCTGTTCATTCCTGCAGTTCTTCCCCTTTTATTCAGTCTTTGAGGTGTCACTGGCAGTGAGGATATAGTTCATCAGGACCTGTTGTGAATTCTTCAAGAGCTCTCTTACTATCTGCTCATTTATCTTGACTATTAACTTCCTGATAGCTCTTACTGTCTGATTCTTTCTATTCCACTGGTCATTCTTTTTGGCTCTGCTATCTCTTGTCAGTTATCCCATGCACCTGGACCAATAGTCCTAGCTCTTGCTTTCTCTTTCTTACAGTATGGCTAAGAAAACATTTTTAATTAGCCTTTTTCAGCAGCCTAATCTCATTTTTAATTTTATTATTCCTACCCCTAGTCTTGGACAATTTCACCATGCTTTTTTATTCATCTTCTTTTATCTTTTGTAGTCTTTCAAAAATGAGTTGCTTGCTGAGGTCTCTGTGCAGCTATCTACATTGATATCTTCAGCTCCCATTTTCCCTTGTCGTTGGAATTGTTTCCCTTTATGTCTTCAGAATTTCATTCTTGGAAGCTTCCCACTCATCTTAGGCTTAGGTGCCCATAGGATTTCAGTCTATGTGTGCCTTCCTAACCTTCCTCTGAAATTTTTTGAAATCTCTTTTAAAATGAAAGACTGTTTGGCTTTGCTTTCTTTATCATATACACTAGTACTCTTTCTTCCATGGGTCCCATCATTATCGCTTGCCAATCAATTTTTGTTTTGTTTTGAACAAACCAATGTTTGTTCAGCTATCTTTTGAAGGTTGAAATTAGCATTTAGAAAGGCCCAGAAATTATTAACTGTTTTTTTCTGCTTTTGGTAGAGAAAGAACTCCAACAAATAATTACTTAATTGAAGTCTTCCATCTATACTATATTAACTACCTTTTTATCTTTTGAGTAAAACTTACTCTTCTGAAACTATTTTCCAGGATTTACCTCCCTGGATTAGGACCTTTACTTCATCTTATTGCCTTAATTTTGTGAATGCACATTTAGGTTTTAGTTTGGTTCCTTTCTTGTATTTTGTCTCCTTTGATCTTCTGGATGTCTCAGTTGCCATTCTTCTTCCTTCATTAAGCCTCCTCATTTTATGTCATCTAGCATGGTGATATACATGTAGTTTCCCCTTTCATATTCAATTTGAATCATTTTGATTAGATTATAGGACACCAGGCAAATATATTCTTAACATCGGTTGTTAAGTGCGTTCCACCCCTGCCCAGTAGCTTGTCATTTTTTTTAAAAGCCATGGTCTAGAAATCCAAGTCCCATCCTCAGACACTTTCTTTTTTAGTGTCTAAGTGTTTACTCTCTAAATTACTTTTCTGCATTTCTTGCCTTTTATGGGAGAGCAGAGAGAAAAAATGTCATCTGTCCTTATAATCTCTCTAGTTTCTTCCTAAGACCTCATAATTGGAACTGTTGTCTGGGTTCCTTCTCGTAGTATTGTTTGTGCCCCTGTGATTCACCTGAATTAGATAGTAAGCATCTGTTTTGACAAGTTCCAGGAAGTGATTTTTTTGTGTCTTGGGTATATGAATTAGGGAAGATTCCAGCCTTCTTTGGTTTTGTTCAAGTTAACAGACAGCTGCTGTAGTATACCTAAGGACTGAGTCATTACCGGCTACTGCTGTTCTATTTTCTTCTGACCACTAGTAGGTTACCTTTTTACTGATCGCTCCAGTGGTCTTGCTTATTCCTTGGAAGACAAGGGGTGCTTTCTAATCAGAACAAACAGGTCCTTCCTCTTGGGGAAGAGTTGCACATTTGTGTTTTGTTTTGTTTTGAACTCTTGAGTGTTGAGTTTCTACAGTAGCTGTGCCTAGGGGAAACATTGAAAACTTCTACAATGTATACCAGAGGGAAAGGGATTTGGAGATTGTCTCCTTAATGACTTATAATTGAACATTCCAGGGGGAAGCTTGGGTAAATGGGGAATAGATTCTTACAGGGGAAATAGGGGTGCTTATAGGCAAACAAGAAAGGTTAGAAGAGAAACTGGAACAATTAGGGGAGTCAATTTAAGATCTTAATTTATTGCTTACAACTACCATGAGATAAAGATTTCCATAGAGTTAAAAGTGACAGGATGGTGTAGAATCTACTATGCTTCAGGTAAATTAAAAAAAAAAAACAGGTGAAAATCATAACCTCAGACATGGCAACAGTAAAAACAGATATAGTTAAAAGAGATAAGCATGAAGAGTATTTTCCTTAAAGTCAGTGTTGATACTAAATATAACAATCTGTATCAAATGGCTAAGTATCTAAGTGCTTAAAGTGAAAAAGTGAAACCACAAGGAGAGAAACACAGTAAAACAATAATTGTTCAGGATTTTGATGTATACCTTTCAGAACTAGTCTTAATAGTAAAAAGAAAAAGTTGGCATGGATAGTTTTAGAGAAGTTGGACATAATAGAGGCATTTAATGAGTAGAAATTGGAAAGTGTATACATATTTCCTAGCTTTGCCACCTTTGCAAAATTTGACTATGCAAGAAAATAAAAAAATTCATAATGCAAAAAAGAAGAAATACTCTATTGATATAATTAAATTATAATCAACTAGAGGAATTTGAGAAAAAAATCAAACTTAAATGGAAGCTGAATAATATCATCTTAAAGAACTGAGTGCGTCGAAGAGCCAATTATACAGACAAATAATTTTATCAACATTTGTAGGAGTTACCCAGAACAGTCCTTTAAGAAAAATTTATATCTCGAAGTATGTTGTGAAGTCATTCAATCATGTCTGATTCTTTGTGACCCCATTTGGCATTTTCTTGGCAAAGCTACTGTAGTGGTTTTCCATTTCTTTCTCCAGCTCATTGATAAGGAAGGAACTGAGGCAAAGATCAGTTTTCCTGATTTTAGGCCCAGCACTTTATCCATTGTGCCACCTAGTTGCCCCATTTCTTAAGTATGTTTATCAATAAAAGAAAAAAGAAATTGATGAAACTTTAAAAGGTAGCCCCTTTCCCCCCCCAAAAAATTCTACAAATACCAAAATAGCAATTCTGAAAACCAGAGAAAAGATGAACAATTTTTTACATGAGATAATAAAGCTAGGAATTATTTTTAAGACTAACAAAATACATAAACCATTAGCTAATTTAATAAAATAAGAAAGCCAAAGTATATTTTAAAAATTCACAATGGATGAAGAAAAAACATCATTAGAAACCTTTGTCCTGTTATGTGCCAACAAAGCTAATAAATGGATGAAAATGGAACAGCCAAACATGGCTGTTCCATAAGAGAGCACTGGACTTAGAGTCAGGAATTCCTCAATTTGAATCCTGCTTCCAACACACTAGCAATACGATCCCGAGTAACTCATTCCCTGTGCCTTGGTTTTCTCATCTGTAAATTGGGGTAGTTGGCCTCGGTGGCTCTAAGATCCCTTCCAACTCTGAATCTACTATACTATGAATATTTACAAAATGGCACAATTTAAGGTTAACAAACTTGAACGTGTCATAAGTCTCAAAGGAAAGAACCCTACCCCACAGGGACTTGTGTGCATATTCTATCAAACGCTCAAAAACCAATAAATAATACTAAATAATTTACTTGAAAAGGTTAAAAAAAAAACATTAGTTTTACCAAACTAATGAGAGAAATAGGGCCCAGATGCGCAAACCATTTAGAAACTAAGCAGAGAAAGAAAGCTATAGACCAATACCCATAATGAATATTGGATGGAATATTAGCAAAGAATTTAGCAATATATTCAAAAGACCAGATTGGGTTTTTACATACAGAGTGACCTTACTTAGTCACTGACCAAACTGTATTTATACAAAGAAT